TGGCCGTCGCCGTTGCTTTTGCTGTCGTCGTCGTCGTCGTTGTCGTCGTCGTGGGCGAGTCGGTCGGGCGGGCTGGCTGGACACGTCGTCGTCGTCGTCGTCGTCGTCCTTGTCGTCGTCCTCGTCCTCGTCGTCGTCGTCGTCGTCGTCGTCGTCGTCGTCTTCGTCCTCGTCGTCGTCGACGTCGTCATCGTCGTCGTCCTCCTCGTCGTTCTCTCCGTCGTTTGCCGCGTCCAGAGCGGCTGGGGATTGGTCGATCCCCCACCCCAGAATTCTGAGGGTGGGTCATCGAAGCCTCTTCCCTTCCACCTGGACTCCCTCCCAGCGTGCACAGAAGGTCTTTCAGTTATTCGTGAGGAAGAGGAATGGGGGAGGAAGGAGAGGAGGAGAGGGCATGTGCAGGAGCCTAGCGGCAGCAGAGCTGGCCCTGCCTTCATGCTCCCGCCTCGCCTGAGGAAAGCACGCAACCCGTGGTCGCCTCCAGCTACACGAATGTCCAGGACTGGCTGTCCGAGGGCGCCCGCCTCAGCCGCAAGGGGCCGCGTCAGTCCGAGGGAGGGCCAGGAGGGTGATGGTGGTCACTGCGTAAGGGACAGTAAGGGTCAACGGCCCCGATTAGAGCATCACGCACCACGACCACGACCACGACGACGACGACGACGACGACGGCGACGACGACGGCGGCGGCGGCGACGACAGCGACGACGACGACGGCGGCGGCGGCGACGACGACCGCGGCTACGGCAACGACGACGACGGCGACCGCGACGGAGACGAGGCGCGCAAACGATCCGCACCGAAACGCGGAGTTGGGAAAAGGGGTTTGGTGCACAATTCATCGTTGAGCAAGTCTACTGCCTCCCTCCGAGCACGGCCCCCCCCACCCCAGAAGAGCAGCCAGACACTTCGGGCTTGCATAGAGCATAGGGGCGCAAAATGCCCTGCCAACCTGCCGTGAGACGGGAGGTGCGGCTTCGCTGCCGTTGTCGACGCAACCGCTTAGGACGTGGGGACGGAGCGACGGTCTGGGCTGTGCGTGCTCGGCCTTGTGGACGAGCTGGCGGAGGAGCGCCCCGCGCTCCAAGGTATGCCCAAGGCGTGCCGGCAGCGGCCGCAGAGGCGACAGAGGCATTCTTCGAGGCCGTGGTGCCCGCGCCGCCTGGCAGCGCAGGTGAGGGTGCTCCAGAGCTACAGGGTGCTTCGGAGCCAGGCCAGGCTGGCTGCGGCTGGTCGTTTGGGCGGCCTCCCGGGCGCCAAGCCCCTGAGATCCGACGTGGCGACGTGACGATATTTCGGCGCCGTCGTCGTAGAGAAAATCTGTTTCCACGTCGAGCCGCATCGCCGATGCATGGGCGATGCGGCGCGATCCTCCGACCTGGAGGCCTGGAGGCCCCCCCCGTCGGCTACACAGGAGGCCGGGGGGGACCAAATCCAGGTGCGCAGGCCAGCGTAGGGGGGACCCCTGTGGGCCCGCCCGCACCAACCCTGAGTTCCGACGTTGCGACAAAGCTGCAGCATCGCGAAAAATCGCGACCAGAGCCCAGGGCCCGACATTGGGCGAAAGCGCCAAGTGTTGAACACATGAAGCGCTCGGTTCTCACGGTCCGCGCCGTGCCGTCCAGGCGCGGGGCAAGCTCAGTGGAGGGGGCGCGCCATTCGATCTGGAGGTGCAGCGCGGGTACTGCACCGCCTCGCGGACGTGGGCGCCCGCTGCAGCTCTGCCGAGAGGCCCGCGCGCGCTTCCCGGCCGCGCCCGCGCGCTTGCTGGCGGGGCCGCGCGTTTGCCGACGACGAAGCAGGCGGACAATCGGCGCCGCTGCCACGAGGCCCGAAAAACGCGTCCGCGCTCGAGCTCCAGACCGCCAGCGTCTCGAGAAACTCAACGCGGATGTTTTCGCAGTTCTCGGTCTTTGGAAGTGGCGGGCCCTCGCCTGGCTCCAGGGTCGTCAAAGCACGACTCAGGATGAAGCGCCGGCCCCAGGCAAAAGGTCGGGACTGAAAGAGCGCGTTCTTTGGTCGCTTGGAGGGGGGGGGGGGTGGAACCGGACCCCCCCCCCATGGATGGAGGGGGGGGGTTCGACCCCCCCGCCCCCCTCCCCTACTTCTCCTCTCTCCCTCTCCTCGGGCCGGCGCCTGCGTCGGCGGCGGCTGGCGGTGGCTGGGACGACGACTTCCTTTTCTGGGCCGGCGCCGGCGCCTGCGGCGGCGGGCGGCGGCGGCGGGGAGCGTCGACGAGGACGACGGCGACGACGATGACGACGACGACGACGACGCTCCGCCACCGTGCTTTGATTTTGGGTGAGAGTCCTAATGGATGCCTCTTGGTGTCTCGTCGGAAGGCTCTCGGGGGCCTCTGGAGGACATTTGTGCAGCCTCCTGGGCGCCTGGTGGTTGTGGTTGTGGCGGTGGTGGTGGTGGTGGTGGTGGTGGTGGTGGTGGTGGTGGTGGTGGTGGTGGTGGTGTGGGTGGTGTTGGTGTTGGTTGTTGTGGCAGGTTGTGGTGGTGGTGGTGATGGTGGCAGTGGTTGTTGTGGCGGTGGTGGTGGTGGTGGTGTGGTGGTTTGTTGTGGTGGTGGTTGTGGTAGTGGTGGTGGTGGTGGTGGGTGGTGGTGGTGGTTTGGTAGTGGTGTGGTGGTGGTTTGTGGTGGTAGTGGTGGTGGGTTGTGGTGGTGGTAGTGGTGATTGGGTGGTGGTGTGGTACTGGTTTGTGGTGGTGGTGGTGGGTTGCGGTGGTGGCGGTGGTTTGTGGAGGTGGTGCTGGTGGTGGCGGTGGTGGTGGTGGTGGTGGTGGTGTGGCTGTTTGTGGTGGTGGCGGGTTATGCTGCTGGTAGTGGTGGTTTTTGTGGCGGTGGTGGTGGTGGTGTGGTAGATTGTGGTGATGGTTGTGGTGGTGATGGTGGCTCTGGTGGTGGTTGTGGTGGTGGTGGTGGTAGTGGTTGTGTGGTGGGTTGGTGGTGGTGGTGGTGGGTGGTTGATGTGGTGGTGGTGGTGGTAGTGGTGGTGGTGGTAGTGGTGGTAACCGTCGCTGCGTCCCCGCCGTCGACGCTGCTGGCCAGCGCCGGCGCCGGCGCAGGCGCGGGGGAGGGGGGGGGTTTGAACCCCCTCCTCCTTGCGGAGGGGGGGGGGTGGGGTGGTTCGGGAGGGGGGGGTTAGGGGGGATGGGGGTCTCCCTGTTTCTGATCGACGGTGCCGAGTGTTGGGGGGGGGCGCCCCCGATTCGAAACGCGCCGCCGGATGTTCCCAAGGCGCACGCCCGTGAAACGCGCTCTCTCGGACTTCGAGAACCCCGTCTCTCACAAATCACACCGCAGGAAGTGGTGGGCTCACTCGAGTTGAAGTCGTCTGGGAGGCACAGACGAGGCGTCACTGGTTCCACCGCAACAGACAGGAGGGCAGGTGGGGTGCGCAGGCACATCGGCACACAAGTGTAACTTTGCAGTCGTGCTGCCCCTCCCCCCGCGCACATCAACAATGAAATCGCCAACGCGAGCACAGTCTGGCCTGGCCTTGTTTTTTACACAGATGCGCCAGAGGCGCGGGCGCGGCGGCTACCACCTCCTTCCGCTGTCTCTCTTTCAAATCCAGAGGATGGGTTTCTTGTTATTCTCCATATTCAATGGATGGGGTTTTGTTATTACTCCGACCGCGCTGACTCCTTCGATTCAGCCCCCTCCTCCTCCTTCTGCCCCCTTCCTCCTCCTCCTCCTCCTTCCTCCGACCTCCTCCTCACCCAGAGTCACACTCAAATGTTATGCTATGTTATGGCATGTTATGTAGTGGTATGTTACGTTTGACATTGTGTGCCATATTACGTTATGCTATGTTTTGGTGTGGTATGGCATAGTATGGTAGGTTTGCTACGGTATGTGATGTCATTTTATGTCATTACCCATGTCTAAAGTCTGTGGTTCTTGTCTTCCCATTTCCGAAAGAGCGTGTTCTACCGCTGCTGGCGGAAAGCCGGGGGGGTCATTACTGGTTCGAACCCCTCCCCCCCCCTCAGGAAAACTGGGGGGGGGGTCACTACCGGTTCGAATCCCTCAACCCCTCCCCCCCCCAGTTCACAATGAAAAGGGGGGGGGTCACACTACCGGTTCGAACACCCCCCCCCCCCTCGAAAACCGAGGGGGGTCACTATATACCGGTTCGAACCCCCCCCACCCCCGAGGGTTGGCCGCCGCGAGCCCCCATGCGGGAAGAGGGACTGTTTTTCCTCCACCGCGTCTTGAGCCAAAAGCCCACAGACACTGAAATCCAGAACCACTTGCATGCAGGCGTAGGGTCGCACCGTATATGAGTGGCTCTCTGCTCCTACACTGCTGCTGGCGAAAACCACTCGCATGCAGGCGTAGGGTCGCACCGCATTTGAGTGGCTCTCTGCTCCTACACTGCTGCTGACTTCTATATCCAACAATGAAGAAGCAGCCAACATGTCACGAATTTCGGTGCTGGCCATCCCGGCCGGGTTAACGTCACCGCACAATAGCAAACAAGACGGGCATTCCAACGTGCTCCGGAAACGCTGTTCCGGAGCACGTTCCAGCGTGTTCCGGAAACGCTGTTCCGGAACACGCTGGACGGACAGGCAGGGAGAGGTATCTGGAACATGCGCTAGCACGGGGACCTGCAGCACGATGCAACACACTGGAAGCGAAAGATGCCCAGGAGCTAACCTATTCACGGGTTCTGCCGGAACGCGCTGTGCACTCTCCCGAGAGTCCAACAGACGCACCGAGTCCGTGACATATTTGATGCTGCTATAATGCTAATGCTACGCTCCCTGACCCACGCTCCTCCTCTTCGGTAGGGCTCTCCAGCCTGCCCGAATCGTGACTCGCTGGGGCATGGGAGCGCCAGCGTCGCAAAGACAAAAACACCAAGTCAAATGTCATCTCAATGTTTTAGGTGGCGCTCCGACGCCGCTGCACAGCAGAGGCCCCCGTTATCACTGATGGAGGGCGTACTCGACGAACGACGCGACCACGATGCCTGCGGCAATATTTACACAGCCCGGAGGCCGAAGTGGTCGCTGATCCAAGCCATGGCGGGCACCGAGAAGACCTTCGTGAGACCATCTGCCCGCTGCTCGTTCGACCCGACGTGGTCGAGCAAGAGGGTCTCGCTCTCCACCCTGCTGCGGAGGGCCGACGCCCTGTTGGTGAGGGCGCGTGTCCTCCAGCTGCCCTGGCCCCGGGCCAAGCACAGCGACGCAACGTTGTCGCCCCACATCCTGGGGAGCGGCACCTGCACCATGATGCTCGCGAGGCTTGCCTCCGCGCCCTCCAGCATGACCAAGCCCATCGCCAGGGCCGTAATTTCAGCCTCCGCCGTAGATCTCGCCACCTGCGCCTGTTTGACGGATCGCCAGTCGATGAGGCACTCCCCCAGGTACACCCCGACGCCGGTCTGGGAGTATTCGGCTTCGAAGTTGGCGTGGGCGAAGACGTGCAGCTCGATCTCGTTCCCGTCGCCGCGCACCGCCTGGAAGACAAGCCCATGGCGACGCGTGCCAAGGAGGTATCGCATGATACGCTTGCCAAGGCGCAGCGCCCACTGAGGCGCTGTGGTCGCATGTGCTGACATCTGGCTAACTGCGAAGGCGATGTCGGGGCGGGTGCGCCCCGACAGCCACAGCAGCCCGCCGCCCAGCTTCTGGGCGAGGCGCGCGTCACCGAGCTCGGGCTCCGCGCCCAGCTCCTCCCCCAGCGGCTCGATGGAGATGGTGCCACACGCATTGGCGTTCGTCATCTGCCACCTGGCCAGGACATCCTCCAGGTAGGCGGCCTGATGGGCCACGAACGCCCTGTTGGCCCTCGCTTCCACCTCTAGCCCGAGGTACCTGATCGTGCCGGGATGCGCGCGGTCAATGAGAAATTTGACCGAGCACGTCCAGGTCGCCATCATCACTTCCTCCACTGTTGTGATCGTCTCGGGCGAGCCAGAGATCAAGAAGTCGTCGACGTAAACCAGCACCAAGCCAAGCGATTTCTGTTCGCTCTCGGTCTTCGTCGGCACGTCCTCCACTGCGCTCCAGACAGGGGCGTCGCAGCGCGACTGAATCAATCGGCACCTCGTGCCATTGACCTCGAACCTCATAGCCCGCATCTGCCTGTCCCGCTTCAGGCCCCAGACTCTGGGGGCGATGCGGAGGCCGTAGATGCCCTTCTTGGCCCTCCAGATCTCGTCGCGCCCGACGAGCCCGTGCGAAGACAGGATCCCTGGCGGGCGCACCAAGACCTCTCCGGCCTCCTCGGGGAGGGGGGCATTCAGGAAAGCCGTTGACACGTCCAGCGCCTTGAGAGCCCAGCCGCACGAGCTCGCGATCGCGAGTGCGGCTTTGACGCTGAGGATCTCGACGTTGCTCGTGAAGACGACCTCACCCGGCATTTGCTTCTGGAAGTTCCCGCAGACCACCCCGCGGAATTTCTTGCGCCGGCGCTGTGCTGGATCCGACGCCGCCGGCGCCTTGATGCCAGCGACCCCCTTCATAGGGAGCGCGTCCTTGGCGCGCACCTGCGGCTTCTCCCCCTCGGTGAGGGCTTCGAAAACTTGCTTCTCTGAGAAAGAAGCGAGCTCGACCTCCATGGCCTGCTTCCATTCCTCACGCTCGGTGCCGATAGCATTCCGCAGCTCGGTCATTGACACTGGCTGCATGCCGCTGTCCTTGATGATCTCAACGAAATCGGGCGTGCCGTCCGAATCCGAACCGGCGGCGGCGGCAGCGGCAGCTGGGTCAGAGGAGGCAGCCAGAATTCGAGGGGCATCGGGCGAGAACACCGCAACCTCCGCCGCCGCCTGCTCCTCCTGCTCCTCCTGCTGTTCCTGGCGCCTGCTTGCTGCGAAGCCGCAGCCTCCGATGGTCACGAGCAGCGTCAACAACGTCAGTCGACGGGCCCTGGCGGCACCCGTGGTCGTACGTGTGCCCACGGTGTGCTCCAAGGCAGGCTGGGCACGTGATGTCCTTCGGCGCCTCGTCCAAGATGCGGAGGGGGTTCAGGTCCTCAGCCTCCTCCTGCTTGGCCTGCTGCTCCTCCTCCTCCTCCTGGATGTCCTGCTGCTCCTCCTGGCTGTCCCGCTGCTCCTGGTCGTGCTTCTCCTCCTCCTGGTCGCCCTGCTCGTGGACCTCCTGCTGGCCTCCTCTTCCAGGCACGGCGTCGACGACGAAGCTTGACGAGGTCTCAAACTCCCACCTCTCGACGCCGTTCTGGGCGACCTTGTGGCCAACCAGGGACGCTCCGGACACGAAGTCGCAGATGCCGAAAATTTGCCGCGGCACGGCCCGAGGCGCGAACGCAAACTGCGGCACCTGCTTGATCCTGCAGGTGATGGGCTGCCCGCAAATCGGACACCCAATGGGCTTTCCCTGAGCCGCGCGCCGTTGGAGAGCTGCTGCGTGGACGACCGCTGCCGGCCACAGCTGCTCGCGGTCTGCCGCGCCCACTGCCAGCATGGCTCTGGCCCTCTGCTTGATTATGCCGATGCCCCTCTCGGCGCGCGGGTTGTTATCGGCCTCGTGCCCTGGGGTCGATGTGACTACGATCCCCTGGGTGGCAAGCGCTGCGCTCACCTTCGGGCCCGAGAGCTCCCGCGCCTGGTCAGCGTGGACACGGTAGACCACGCGCGCCTGGAACTCAAGCTCCACCTGCGCGATCATCAAGCGCAAGGCGGCCAGCACCTCCACCGTGTGCTTGCCGGCGAGGGGAATGACGTAGTACCACGTCTGCACTCCCTCCTTCTCGACGAGTCCGTCTGCCGGCACTGCCGCCACCGCTGGCAGCGCTGAAGCCCGCGTGACCACTGCCAAGGCGTCGTCTGCAGCCAGCGGCTGCTCAGCCGCCGCAGCGGCAGCCTGCTCCAACTGCTCTCCGGGTCTCTCGCCTGCTGCTGCAGCTGCGGGCGGCGGCAGCCCCGCGGCGCCGCGAGCGTGCTGCTCCGCCACAGCGGCGGCGGCGCGCTCAGAAGCAGTCATAACCGCGTAGGCGCCGAGGACGAAGTACCGCGCCCTCTTGGGGCGGTCTTCCTGCTATGCTCCTGGCCAGAGCCCTGCAGGGTGGGGGCCAGATATGTCCGCGGACAGCTGGTCTCCCAGCCGAGTCCGCGCATCCAGCCTCCAGTGCGCCCTCACACGCCCTGCCGCCAGGCGGCATTCGTAGCAGTCGGGGCGGAAGGACGGATGTCCACGCCTCTTGTGCTCCTCCAAGCTGAGGCGCTGCGCGGCGGCCACGACGACGTCGAAGTGCGCCGCCAACATCTTAGCGCCGGCTCGCGCGCGCAGCTGCTGCCTCATCGTGCGGAGGCGCTGGGCGTCGTCCTCGTAGATGTACGCCGCGGTGCCCTCGAGCTCCAGCTCGATCGCGCCCTGGCCCGGCAGCATCACGCGGGCTCGATCCCGACCCCGCCGAAGATCGAGGCCGAGTTCGGCGACGTAGGCGCCGATCGGGAACAGGGCCTGCAACTCCGTTGGGGAATGGACATGCGCCACCTCGTCCGTCCCCATCAGCACGCCGGCCTGCTGGCCGGTAGCGCGCGCGAGGTCGATGCGCTGGCACGGCACGGGCGGATGCTGGTTTGGCCATAGGTGCTGCAGCTCATGCGTGGCACCGGTGTCAGCCAGCAGTCGGCGTCGGCCTGGGCCTCCATGGAGCGCGAGTGCCGCGCGCAGATCAACGCGAAGCGTTCAAAGGTCGGGCTGCTGCTGGGGAGGGGATGCTGCGGCGTTGGGCGGGGTGCCGTTCGACCCCGAGGCTCCCACTGGCTGGCCCCAGCCATCCTGCCAGGGAGGGCCAGCAGCAGCGGCAGCGGCTGAAATCGGGTAGAGGCTCGCAGCCACAGCGTCCCTGACCACCTGCTGCATCGCCTCGGCGGTCGGCGCAGTCGCGGGCGCAACTGCGATTGCCGACGCTGCTGACGCACCTCCTGCGGCGGCGGCTGCAGGAGGCTTCGGCCGTTGGCACACTGCCTTGTCATGGTCCTCGGCCCCGCAGTTGAAGCACCTACCCTCGCTCACCTCGAGCTTCCTGTGGTGGCGAGTGCAAGTCACGCCGAACTTGCAGCCAGCTTTGCTGTCGAAGAACCAGCACGCCTCCTTACCTCCTGTCGCTGCCTTGTCAGCAGGTTTCGCCTTCGCTCTCACCTTCGCCTCGGCGCGGGCGTCGGGCTTGCCGCCCTTAGCGTCGGGCCTGCCCTGCTTGCCCCCGCCTTTGGCGTCCTTCGCCTCCCACGCGGCCGCCAATGCCTTCACGCCCTTCCCCTGGGGCGCGTCGCAGAGCTCGCGAGCCTCGGCGGCGAGGTGCCGCCAGAACTCGTCCACCTGCTGCTGCGAACAGTGGCTGGCGCCCGAAATGCCGTGCTGCATCTCCCACGCGAACATCCTGTACTGGAAGTTCGCGTCGGCCTCGGCCATGCCCTTCACGATGCCCCGCAACGTCGCCAGCTGCGTGACAGGGTCCCGAGCGGCCATTCCCAGACGCTGCAACCGAGTGAGCGAGAACTTCCACGAGTTCAGCTCCTGGTAGCAAAACGCCAGGGCAGCGGCCTTGTTGTCACGCCGCTCCACCTCCCTCAACACCAGCTTCCGGTCGCGAAGGGTGCCGGGCCCGGCCTCCACCATGATGCTGAAGAGGCGCTCGGTCACCGAAGTCTGTCGGGTGGCCAGCGCGCCTCTCTGCACCTGCTCGGGGACCGCGTCCAACAGCAGCGGGCGCAACCGCAGCTCAATGCTAAGGCTCTGGCGATCGGCTCCGAGCCACTCGGTGTTCGGCTTCACGAGCGGGCGCTCGAGTGGGCCGCGGCTGAGGTAGTACTCATACGCCTCCCTCGCCGCGCGTTCGGACCGCTGCCAGAACAAGTCGACGAGGGGATGCCACCCCCCGATCCTCATGGCAGCTCGCTGCACCCACTCCTCGAAGGCGTGCGCCTTGTTCACGCCGGCGGCGAACGCCAGCTTCGGCACGTCGCCGTCCTTCAGTTTCGCCAACACCGCCTCCAAGCAAAACGCGGCTCCTCGGTGCTGCTCGTCGGCCCCTGCCGACGCGGAGACGGCAGGCGGCGGCGGCGGCGGGGGCGGGCCGCCAGCTGCAGGCATCCACGCGCCACGCCCTGGATCACCCCCAAAATCACCTCCACCTCCAGGATGTCCTCCAAAACCTCCTCCATCTCCACCACCTCCGCGTCCTCCTGGCGGTCCGCCTGGAGGCCCGCCCGGCCATCCATTGGGCCCAGGGCCGGTCGGAGGCAGCCCGGGCGGCAGCCCACCGGGCTGCAACGGCGGCTGAGGCATGCCGCAAGCGCCGGCTGCCGCCTCAAAGCCAGGCACCTGAACTCCGCCAGGTGCGACTGCTGCTTGGTCCGCGGCCGACGCTGCAACGACCTGGTCGGCGTCTGGCGTGGGCTCCCCGAGACCGGCGACGGGCGGAGCCACCTCCTCGGCCTCGCCGTACTCGCTGCTCGTAGCCTCGGCGCGCGGCGCACGAGGCATCGATGGTGGTGGAGCACCCTCTGGCGCCACTCGCCCACCAGCAGAGGGCTGTCCACTGGCCTCTGCTCCGCCGCTCGCCTGCGAGGGCGGCGTGCCTGGGTCAGGACGGCCCCCACGCACTGGGGTCCGATACCCCAGCGTTGATGCCCCACTTTGGGCTGCGGCTACTGCTGCCGATGCGCGGTCGGCGAGCCGCTCTGCCTCCAGCTGCTCGTTCCTGCGGCTGAGGCGCTGCACCTCCATGCGCAGCTCTCGCAGCTCCGCCAGATGCAAGTCCATAGCAACGGCTGGCGGTCGCTGCTGGTCCTGGCTCATGTCGGGCGCGTCCGCCCTGCCAGTGCTTTCAACAGCTGCTGCCAGCAGCTGGTCGGGGAGCTGCGGCTGAGCAGGCAGCGGCATCATCGTGCCCGCCGCCCACGTCTGGCGCGCTCACGCCGCAGCGCCGATGGCAAGGCGCTGCACTCCAGTCGCGGCGGTGCTGATAGTCGCCCCCACTGCGTGGCTAGCCATCTGTGCGCCAGACGCCACGGTGCGGCCAAGCTGTCCTGCGAGACCGCTCGACCAGGCTGCCTGCCGACGATCGTGCGCGATGTCGCGGTCGGTGAAGCAGGCAAAGCAGACTGCATGCCCATGCCAAGGCTGCATGCAATGGCTGTGGACGTCGGTGAGGCAGATGTCGCACACCACCGACGGGCCCACGATGACGTCCGAGCATGCCCTGCACCGCGCGCGCATCAGCGCAACGGGCGGCGGCATCGGCGCTGCTGGGAATCCGTGGGCGAGCGGAGCTCCAAGCGCAGGGTGGTAGAATCCCTCGCTTGGGCTCATAACCTTTGAAGGGGCTCTACTGTTCTCTGGCCTCATTCTGACCAGACCCGAGCCCCTTCTACAATTTCTCACTCAACTCCGATTCTGGGTCGACCTCCGGGGGTCCGGCAACGGCCCCGAGATAGGCCACGAGTTCGTCCCGGGAGGCTGGCAGCAGCCGCAATGGGCCCCAATGGGGCCGCGGTGCCACGCCGAGGACGTCCCTGAGGACCCAGTCGGCTGTCTCAGCCAACCGTAGCTCAAGGGACCAATTGCGGGACGCTGCACTGCGGCCTCCCCAGGCGGGTTGGCCGCCGCGAGCCCCCGTGCGGGAAGAGGGGCTGTTTTTCCTCCACCGCGTCTTGAGCCAAAAGCCCACAGACACTGACATCCAGAACCACTTGCATGCAGGCGTAGGGTCGCACCGCATTTGCGTGGCTCTCTGCTCCTACACTGCTGCTGGCGAAAACCACTCGCATGCAGGCGTAGGGTCGCACCGCATTTGAGTGGCTCTCTGCTCCTGCACTGCTGCTGACTTCTATATCCAACAATGAAGAAGCAGCCAACATGTCACGAATTTCGGTGCTGGCCATCCCGGCCGGGTTAACGTCACCGCACAATAGCAAACAAGACGGGCATTCCAACGTGCTCCAGAAACGCTGTTCCGGAGCACGTTCCAGCGTGTTCCGGAAACGCTGTTCCGGAACACGCTGGACAGACAGGCAGGGAGAGGTATCTGGAACATGCGCCAGCACGGGGGACCTGCAGCACGATGCAACACGCTGGAAGCGAAAGATGCCCAGGAGCTAACCTACTCACGGGCTCTGCCGGAACGCGCTGTGCACTCTCCCGAGAATCCAACAGACGCACCGACTGCGTGACATATCTGATGCTGCTAATGCTAATGCTACGCTCCCTGACCCACGAAAGCCGAGTGGGGGTGCGGACAGTGGTGGGGACGGTGGTGGTGGGGACAGTGGTGAGGGGACAGCGGGACAGTGGTGGGGACAGTGGGACAGTGGTGGGGACGGTAGAGGTGGGGACAGTGGTGAGGACAATGGTGGGAAGAGTGGGGACAGTGGACAGTGGGGGGTGGTGGTGGGACAGGACATGGGAATACAACAGTGGTGGTGGGGACAGTGGTGAAGGTGTGGCGAGGACGGCGGTGGGACAATGGGACAGAGGTACAGTGGGGACAGTGGTGGGGACAGTGGGGACAGTGGTGGGAACAGTGGGACAGCTCAGTGGGACAGCGGAGGAGTCAGTGGGACAGTGGGGACAGTGGGGATAGTCGGGCAGTGGTTGGGGCCGTGGAGAAAGTGGGGAGAGTGGAACCGTGGTGGGAACAGTGGTGGGGACAGTGGGGACAGTGCGACAGTGGTGGGGCACTGGTGGGGACAGCAGGGACGGTGGTGGAACCAGTGGGGACACTGGTGGTGAGGACAGTGGTGCTGGGAACACAGTGGGGGATGTGATGCGGACGGTGGTAGGGACCGGGAGTCGTTTGCTGGCGGTGAGTGGGGGGGGTGGGGAGGGGTTCGAACCGGTAGTGACCCCTCCTCCGGTTTTCAAAGGGGGGGGGGGACGAACCGGTAGTGACCCCCCGGTTTTCGAGGGGAAGGGGGGGGGTTAGGGGAGGGGGGGGTTTGCCGGGGGAGGGAGGGGGGGGGGGTCCAGCAGGGGGGGGGGATTTCGGAGGGGGGGGGGACCCCCAGGCTCCGGAGGAAGAGGGGGGCAGTTTTCCACAGTAAAACGGCGGTGGATCACGCTCTCTCCCATATCCAAAGGATGGTTTTTTTGTTATACTTCGACCGCTCCGAGCTCACTCCTCCTCCTCGTACTTCTCATGGTATGGCATGCCATGTTACTGTATGACGTTTTATGTCTATGCTATGTTATAGTATGACATGATATAGTAGGTTATTGCATGGTATGCTATAACATTGTGTGTTTATGCAATGGTTTGTTATGTTTGTTCTGCTATGTTGTGATATGCTATTGTATGTCCTGTTATGTTTGTGCTGATGGTGATGGTGATGGTGCTGGTGATGATGATGCTGCGTACGGTGATGACGGTTGTGATGCTGATGATTATGATGATGCTGTTGATGCTGATGATGATGACGACGGTGCTGCTGCTGAAACAACTGATGATGATGCTGATGATGATGATGACGATGACGATGCTGGTTGTGGTTATGATGCTGATGCTGCTTCTGATGATGATGATGCTGATGATGATGGTTGATGATGATGAGGATGATGATGATGATGATGATGATGATGCTGATGATGCTGATGATGATGATGCTGATGATAATAAGGAGGAGGAGGAGGAGGAGGAGGAGGAGGAGGAGGGCGGGGCAACTTCTGAGGATGTCTCGAGCGAGGCGCGGGTTTCAGCACCCCCAATGGGGAGCAGCCAGGGGTATGGCACTCTTCCGCGTGCGCCAAAGTGGCGCGGATGTCTCGAGCAGTTTGCCTGTTTCACCACCTGATATCATCCGCTTTCGGAGCTAATTTTTAGGATGCCTCTAGCGAAGCTCGGGCTTAAGCACCCCCACGGGGGAGCCGCCAGGGGGAATGGCACCTCTCCGTTCGCGCTCATTCTGCGGGGATGCCTCGAGCGGTTTGCCTGTTTGCCAGCGCAACATCCCCCGCATTCCGAACAGATGTTGAGGATGCCTCGAGCGAGGCGCTGGTTTTCGCAATCCAGGGGGGCCAGACGTTGAGGACGTCTCGAGCAGTTTGGTTGGTTCTTGGTGGCCACATTCGTCTGCGTTTACAGTAGATTATGAGGATGTCTCGGGTGAGGCGTTAGTTTCAACAGCCCAAGGGGCCCAGAGGGCGAGGATGTATCAGATTCTGTTATCCTCAAACTCACTCGTGCTCAGACTTAGTCGTACACAGACTCGACCCTTTCAACCTCATACTCAGGCTCACTCGCACTCAGACTTACGCACAGGAGGGGCTCCAATCCCAGGTGTTTCACGTATGTTCACATCGATTGGGCATCTCCTGGGGCATGAGTCTTTAGTGTTGTATGTATGCCTATATATATATATATATATTGTCCTCCTGTGTCTCCAAGCATACGTGTTTTACATCGGTTCCTATATATATATATATATAAAAATAAATAAATATAATGGGCCTGCCCTGGTGCACGACCCCCTAGTGTTTTACGCGTGCTCCTATAGACTGCCCCTCTCCGGTGGCGCCAATCCGCGTATGTTCCAATAGATTGGGTATTTTCCTGAGGCACACATCCTCACCAGGAGGCTCCAGGAGGCTCCAGGAGTCTCCAGGAGGTCCCAGGAGGCCACACGAGGCTTCAGGACGCCTCAGGAGGCCCCAGGAAACCCCAGGAAGCACCAGGAGGCCCCAGGAGGCTTCAGGAGGCCACACGAGGCTCCAGGAGGCCCCAGGAAGCCCCAGGAGGCCCCAGGAGGCACCATGCTCATGCGCACAGGCTCACTCGTACTACTGAGGGTCATTCACACTCCAACTCATTCACAGTTATACTCTTCTCAAGCCCGTTTAGATTCGACGTCTCTTGCGCTTGGACACGGCGGAAAGCTCCATGCAAATAGATGCACATATGGGGATCTCCAGGCAGTGAACAATTACTCCGACCGCGCCGGCTCTTCCTCACACCTCCCCCTCCTCCTCTCCCACACTCAGAGTTGCTCATACTCAGGGTCACACTCAGGACCGCTAGTCAGGTGATGCTGGTGACGACGCTGATGATAATGCTGCTGATGATGCTGAAGTCAGTGATGATGCCGATGCTGATGATGCTGATGATGGTGATGATTCTGATGGTGGCAAGGGTGCTCATGCTGATGATGATGATGATGCTGATGCTGATGAAGATGGTGATGAGGAAAACGATTTTGATGCTGACGACGAGGATGATGATGACGATGCTGATGCTGATGACGGTGATGATGGTGATTATGATGCTAATGTTAAGGATGGTGATGATACTTATGGTGATGATGATGATGATGACGATGCTGTTGCTGATGATGATGTTGATGATGAGACGGATGGCGGTGTTGATGATGACGGTTGCAATGTCTCCGTTGTTGATGCTGATGATATTGATGATGTTGATGACGATGCTGATTATTTTGATGATACTGACGATGATGCTGATGCTTTTGATGATGCTGATGCTGGTGATGATTATGCTGATGACGATGCTGCTGCTGCTGATGATGATGATGCTGATGATGATGATGCCTGCTGTCGATGATGATATCAGGGATGATAATGCTGATGAGGGTGATGACGATAATGTAGCTGATGCTGCTGACGATGATGCTGATGTCGATGCCGATGCTGCTGGTGATGATGCTGCTGATGATGATGCTGATGATGATGATGATGATGATGGTGTTGATGACCATGCTGATGATGCTGATGATGTTGATGATAATATTGCTGATGCTGATTTCGATGGTTGATGTTGACGAGGTTGATGATGATGACGGTTGTGGTGGTGATGATGGTGATGACGATTATGATGATTTTGTGCGTCTGGTGATGTTGACGTTGATGTTGATGATGATGCAGCTGATGATGAAGCTGATGATGAGGTTGATGATGATGTTGGTGATGATGATGATGCTGAGTTTGATGATGATGATGATGATGCTGCTGATGCTGATGATGATGCTGATGCTGATGCTGATGATGCTGATGCTGATGCTGATGCTGCTGATGATGATAACGAGGATGATGCTGATGATGATGCTGATTATGATGATGGTTGATGATAATGATGCTGATGATGGTGATGCTGCTGATGATGATGATGACCATGATGATGATGCTGATGATGATGATGATGATGACGACGACGATGATGATGATGATGAGGATGGTTATGATGAGGATGGTGATGGTGATGGTGATGGTGATGGTGATGGTGATGGTGATGG